GATCACTACAAACCCTTGTAATAATAACATAAATCGATAACTGTACTTGCTGTGGGCAAACAGGGCTTTGGATATGGGATTTTGCATGCAAGTCTGCCTTAAGGTAGTCTACAAAGCAAGATGATAAACCAAACCAAACCACTAAATCTTCCAACACATTACCCTGCTTGAAATCTAGGACTAAACAAAGTGTTTGAGATGTTGTTTTTTTATGTGGCTTATTACTAATAATGTACTTTATACACTAGAGTTTTGTACATATTAATATACAAGGAGTTCACTCAGTATATTAAAAAAAAAAAAAACTTTTTCTTTACAGTAATATTCTGCTTGTTGCTTGCTACCTGCTCTGACGCGCAGAATGCTACTTACAGGCGCAACATAACAGAGTAAGCCATATTGTAAATTCAGTTTAGTTCCATTTTCTCCTAATGCAAGTGTTTCTAAACTTCCTTCTGGAGTCACTCAGCACTTACAGGAGAAGCAAATAGTTTGTAAACAATCTTTAGCACTGTGAACTGAGCTAGTTATTTCATTAGGGATTGCCTGCTTATTTTAGCTGAATAAGCATTTTTTTTTCTTCTTCTTCTTCCTAAGCACAGTCAAAAATTTTTTTTCATTTGCTTTTGAGTTTGTTAAATCTTTCCAGCCCAGGCTTTTGGAAACTCTGGAGAAATCTTGCTAATTCAGACATACCTACTGGAAAGGCTGAAAAAGGTACCATGCTTTAGAGAGGCAACGCTTGTCTAAGCAAATGCAGAAAACTAGATGTTCTAGCCTAGCTTGCCTATTGTTAATTATCTCCCAGGAATTACACTAAAATTATCTGTCCCAGCAAACAGCATTAGCTGTTCTGAAAGTAAAATTTTCCCCATAGGGTTAGAAAAATTGGCCGAGAACCTTATTAATAGCAAATACTACAATAGTTCTGACATTAGCAGAGATAGGTAATTTAATTAGGATGCATCTTTATGTTTCATCTTCAATAACAAGATAACATTTTCTACTACAGATAGAGCAGACTTCTACAGTATTAGTTATTAAAATAAAAGATTTTCTTAGCTAGCATAAAACTTTATACTTACTGTGAAAGTAATATTCTGGATAGTGTAAGTTAACTTATTCAGATCTTCAAAGTTAACAAATATGTTGTACTGAGTGTAATTCAGGTAGCCAAGGTGAGCAACAATGATTTCAGTACATTTCTGTGAACATACACAATGAAGAATAGCATGTAAAGGCCTTCAATTTATTTCACAATATGCGCTGGTAGTCTAGGCTGAAAAACTTGTTTTTACATGGTCAGATATGGGTGATACTTATTTTCTGTCTCACCAGTCTTGATGAGTCAGAACACCTACTGAAGCAGGCCCTGCAGATACAGTATTCCTTGAAAGATAGCAGAAAGAAAGCAGAAGAAATTGACAAAGTGAGTCAGCAGGATCAAAGGCTGAACCAATAAATAAGACTAGCCTTTCACTAAAACTAGTAAAAGAAACTGTCTACAGCACTGGGGAGGATCTGGATAACTATCAGTCAAGCTCTAGGTCACCAGATGGGGAGATGGGGCAATCTTGTACTGATTCTTTTTTTAAAGTTAGCATGAGGAAAGAGAAAATCCAAGCATATTAGTCTTTTGCTGCATGCAGTTAAACCTAATGGGACATTGAGTTCTCTAATTTCTGTAGATTTTATATATTAAAAAGTCCCAAACACTTGATTTATGCTATATGCTTACTATAAAAAGCTTAGTCTATGCCCTTCCTCAAGGATTTGAATCAATTTTAAAAATTTCAGTTAAAAGTATACTAGAAACTCAAAACTTTGAACATGTCTTCTCAGATAGAAAGAAAACTGGCTTTTTCAGAACACAGATTCTAAATGATTTCAGCCAGACTCTCTGCTAGCTGTTGGATGAGAATGCTTCTCTGCCCTGGCGTCCAATACCTCATCTTCCACTACAATACCTTACTGCAATACTGCTAATCTGTTTAAGTGACTGAGCAGCACACATTGCTTGGATGGCAGAGAGCTAGGCTAACAAGAAACAAGGGTCTTTAAGAGGTAATACACAGGAGTCATGTAAGGCAACAATAAAAAAAAGACAAATAGGTAGGTAGATACCTTGCTCAGGTTTATTAGCACAGTTGCTATCATAAATGAAACCTTACTCTAGCTCTTCCTTGAGACCTCCTTATCAGATATATGCTTCTCATTTGCGATGTCATGTAACATGCACACAAAGTTTTAAAAGAAAAAATTCTGCATCAGAATTGTTTAAAAAAAAGGCACATACTTGTGCACAGTTGAGTAATCTTGTCCGGTTGTGAACTTGATTATTAACATATGGCGTGCTTCCATCCTTCACCACCCCAAGCACTTTGACTATCATAGTAACATTTTTTTTGAGGGATACTGCAATTAAAGAGAAAACATTAACCTATTGATACATGCATGAATGAAATTTCAAACAGAGTTCAAAATACATAAAATGTCAGAAGATTACTGGAAGTTATCCAGTTGTACGTTACTGGAGGGGGGAAAAAAGAAATCATACCTCTTATTTATATATTCAGACAATAAGTCACAAATGCCTGGACTTGACAGATTAACAACTTCTGATACAATATTTCTCACATATTTACAGTCATTTTTATTGCATAGTTAATATTATAATCTACATATCTAATAGTCCCAAAAATGGAGGAGCAGAGACACAGATTCTCCACATATTACTGTTCTCGTAGAAATAAAAACCAAGTTATTCCATACACCTGCTGCCTCCAATTCTCAAAACTAGTTCTGTTCATGTCTGCATGGGGGGCAGGGGATAGAAAGGGGAAGACTATTTCAGAGGAAAAACCCACCAACCACAGCCATAAAACTACAGGATCATATATGTGACAGACGCATGAAATTACAGATACTGTATGCAAAATTAGGTTACTACCGCATTTTTCTGAAAAACAAGTAAAATTCTCACCATCATGTTGATCCAGCTCAACTATGCAGGTCAGCCACAGTTGCTGATTGTAAGTAGACAGTGGTGGTGAACTTAAATTAAACGGCTTCAGCTGAAGAAAAACAAACAAAAACATCCACAAAATTACCACCAGTCAGTCTGTTACATAATACATCTGGACTTGTAACAATAAAAGGCATGTTATAGCTACATGTGTGACAATTTGAGGGGGAACAGATTTAATACATGCTACTGTGTTGACAGTATGAATAACACCCCAATTAACTTAAATTACTTTAAAACTAGTAAGTCTTTCAGAGAAGTAGTAGTGTAGTCCAAACAGCATACATTTGTGGTACAGCACTGAATTCAGGAAAGGCATGAGTACTTAAAGCACATAAAAGCAGCAGCAAAAAAAAAGTAGAGATAAAAAGACAAAATGCTAAGACTTAGCCTGAAAATAAAAAATTATTTCTAGCACTCATACATCAAGAGTCAGATTTCTGGCCCTCACACTGCTTCACAGTTTAAAACCTTTTCAACTCTAAGTATGAAAACGGTGGCTATTTTTCCACTAGGCTTTCTAAAAATTCCACATTAATTTCAAAAGCATTGAAGATATCATTAACAAATAAAACCTACATGCAAGAAAGTGTTTTCTTATTTGACATAAAAAACACATTTTTTAAAATCCACCCAAAACATCTTACCCATCCAAATATATATAGACCAATATGTACACATACAATATGTACACATATATAAACTAATAGACACATCCAAAAAAGTGCAGTGCATTTAAAGAAACTATACTTCCAAAAAACAATTCCAGTAATTTTCACCAAAATTACTTTAGACATGAGGTTGATGGTGAAGAGCTAGGCAGAAATAGACACAGAAGAACTGAGAACCAAAATATGAGAGCATAATACGAAGGCTTTCAAGAAAATTAATATGAAGGGTCATGTTAGGAAGCTAAATCTCACTGTCTTGATCACTTGAAAATGATCGATTAACAGGAAAAGGAAACATTCCTTCCCAGCTGACAGAAAGGAAAATCAGAGGAAGGTGATTATGAGTTGTCATGGAGAACATTGTTTTTCCATTTCTGCTCTCAATTTCTCTTTCTAGGCCTTTACAGGAATCTGCATCATGTGCTCACTAGGGAATTCTATCAACACTCAGTGTTACTTTACCAGGAATTAGTGTGAAGAAACATCACTCCATCATGAAATTCCTACCCCATCTGCTCACGGAAGACTAGAAATTGCTGCAGTGTCACTCCTGAAATACACAGTAGTAGTGAAGCTATCACACATTCTACTTCAAGCTGGAAAGTACCATGTAGCCAAGAAGTTTCCATTAAAAATCTAACTGCCTAAAATAATCTTAAGGTGGGGGAAAATGTTTAGCAAACGCCAGCAAATAAAGCCATTCATGTAATCCAACACCACATATTAACTCTTACCTTCAGGCTGTTATTTAAGTCAGTTCTTGCTACAGAAGTTTCAATTACATTAGGACCTATACAATATGTAAGAGGGGAAAAAAGGAATATTGATGTACATTGCTCATAAGTAACAATATAAATATGGCATTTCAAAAGATTGTACAAAATAGTTATGAAGCATCCCTGGGAGACAGGTAAATAATAGCCCACTCTGCAAATGTTTAAGCTGACAGGTAAGTCACTTATACATATAACTATCATAATAACCTTGGCCCGATTGTTCCTCCATACCCAAATTCCTTTAAGCTTTTCTGCCATAGTGTTTCTGAGGATGATTACATAGTTTATATAAATTATAAATCAAGAACTCTAGGTAAGAAGCCCTGCATGCCTGCTCTAAACTACTACACCAAACCACTGGGTATTCTTCTCTAGCTAAGGTATGGTGTATACTGCAGTCATGAAAGTACTCAGCTATAGAAAAGCTAGCTAAGCACCAGCAGCACTGTTGGTGCAGCAGCCTGAAGCTCAGCAAGGGCTGCAAAACACACCTGAAAAAAACAGCATATTAGATTGCACTGAACTCCCAAGTTCCTAGGTCCAAACTGCTACTATTACCTGATGTACTTAGCTAATAATGTTCATGTTGCATTGTGTTCACTGCTGAGATACTAGGGCTAAAGTATCCCATTGTATCTAAGTGCGTGACACTAGTGTCTTTTTTGCGTACCTATAGCATACTTGCTTGTATAATCACAATCATAGTACTTTCTGGCAAGCGCCGGATTTTGTATTGGTCTGTTCAAGCAAAAATTACCTGTATGTCTGTTTAGGACAGTTCTCAGACTACTCAGATGGGGCCCTCCTTTTCTACACAAACGTGGGGAATATAGTGTGTGTATGTGCATATATTTATTTACGTGACTTTATATATATATAAATTGCATAAAAGTTCTATAAAGAATTTCTCCTAACACACACAATCCATTTAGTCAATGGAGTTTCACGACCAATTGTTGTGGGAGATGTTCAGTTCACTCCCAGACTTTTCACCCAGCTGCTCCTCCAATCATTCTGGATACAGTCACACACACTTCACAAATACTTATCAACTGCATCTGTCCACCCATACCCTGCCTCTACTTCTGTATACAATAATAGAGGAACCACAGAATCATAATTTATGTTGGAAGACATCCTAGAGATTATCCAGTCCAACCTCCTGCTCTAAATAGGTGTAATTAGATCGAGTTGCTCAGGGCCGTGTCCAGTCAAGTCCTGAACACCTCCAAGGACAGAGGACGACACCTCCCTGGACAATCTGTTTCAGTATTTAATCATTTTTATAGTAAAAACAAGAAAAATCCTAATATCTAATTGGAATTTCCCATGTTCCAACTTGTGTTCGTGGTCTCTTGTCCTCTCACTGCACACCTCTAAAAAGAGTCTAGCTCCATCTTCTCTATATCCTACAGTAAGGTAGTTGTAGACAGCAATAAGGTCTCCCCTTTGCCTTCTTAGCTATGCAAGAACACATGGTACTTGGGAGAAGAGATAAAGATATTGGGGTATGCATATGTACATACACAAAAGGATTGAGACAGAAAAAATCAAAGGAAAGGATAGGAAAAGATCTGTATCTATATACCGGGGGTGTTATGGAAATAGTTTGACCGTAGGCTTCCGAGAAGCAGAGTCTCGTGTATGTGTAGCAGCAAAATTAATTATTTATTTAGATGACGGTACAATAAAGTAACAGCTCAAGCTGGGTGCCTCCGGGGAACGAATAAATTTGGGGGTAATTATACTTCTTACAGTCTTATTTCCCCACCTGCCTGTGACAGTCTCTTCCAATCTTCTTTACTGAGTTGGTGGTCTCTTTCCTCTTCATTGGTTCATGTCTACATCCCGTGACAGTTGCTATGTTCTTGCTTTATAGCGCCTTATCTTATCTGAAGGTTAACCGTTGCCTCTGTCCATTTTGTTCTGTATCTCGGAGGGCTGGTTCTAGCTGGTTTTGCAGTCGCATCCTCAGCAATGTCTTTTGAGTTCATTTATAATTCAGTCCTGCAGCCTGCAGGGTTCATCAACTTTAGGCACTAGTGCTAAGCTGGGCTAGAGCTAAATTAGCTCCCTTTTCTAACAGGTGTGGAGGGCCATGGAGGAGATATATACCAAGTAGGGACACAGGTAGGACATATGTGTGTGTATTTGGGTCATCTAGAGGCTTCCCAATCACAGCTAAATTTCCCTACCCAAATGGTCTCTCCCCTTACTTATTAGGTCTGGAAACTTAAGCTAATTTATTAACCGTCAAAATATATGCTGTATCATACACAAACTTGTTCTTTCAAGGTATGCAAGAAAACCAATTATTCAAAAAGACCACAGAGTTCAAAGCTAGTATGAAGAAAAAATGGAAAAGGGAGTTTATAAATGAGCAACACGGACCCATTCCAGGCAAGAAGTATTTTACGTTAGCTCTCCTGACAGCTCTAAGCACACAGCATTGCTTGGAATTCTATAAGCACTCTAATTACAATATTGACTACGCATCTTATAGATTTTAAATGGAAAACTTAAGTATTTGACCTATCATATTCAAAGCTTCTTATTAAAATTCAGTCCAACTTCACCAACAGCCACCTCCTACAAAGCCAGTTCTGAATTACTGAACTTCTCAGTTCTCTAGCATGTACAAGATTGTCTAGGTTATTTGGAAAGCTCTCTTGTTTTAAAAAGCAGAGTGGCATTTCAGTAATTAAGCGTTAACAAAAAAAATAAAGAATGATCCTTTCTAGAGTTTTTTTTTAATAGAAGATATTAAAAAATGCTGGAGCAGAATGGTCATAATCCCAGTTTTTAAGATCAGCAACCAAAAAATCAATGAGGTTCTACAGTAGTAACTGCTGCATTTCTAAAATGCAAAATATTAAAGCTTTTTAAAGCAACAGACCAAAAAGATGCTGTGGTCACATTATTAAAAAACAGTGACTAAAGAGCACAGTTTTATTTTCAGTCTTGCTAAGTCAACAGAATCATATCTGAAAGCGAAGAACCACACTAAACTGGTGAACGGAAAAAACGTGCTCAGGTACAGAAAACAAGCTCTGCAACCTGTATTTTCCTTGGGCTTGTCTCAAGATGCCCAAAGATGGCATGGGCGTCTTGAGAAAAGGGAAAGAGAGAGGGTGCAACTTGTAAAAACGCGTTCTGCATCTGGCCTGGGTAACAAGAACTGGAGAGCAACAGCCACCTCAGATTAAACCAACTTCTCTCAGATGAGAAGCAAGGCCTCTGCCAGGCTTCCCAAACCGCAGATACAGATGCTGAGTACGGGGAACGGCATATACAAGTAGCACACTAGACATGAATGTATCTCCCACCTTTTCATTTACTTAGTGGGTTTGGTGAGTTTTACTCAGATTGTACCCTTTAATGAATGAATACTGTCTTGGGAGCGCCCCTCCCTCTATTCACAGGAAGCTGTCAACAAAACCCACAAAAAACACAGTTTAAGCCTTCAGTGGTTCTCCTCCCTAGGTAAACACCATTATTATAGATTAATTATTTTTAAAAGAACAAGCTGCATCCATGCTCTGTCAACAAAAACATCAAGCAAATCAATCTGCTGAGGACAAGAATCTGGCAGCAGTGCCAGCTCCTGAAGGGAATCGCAGTGAGTACTGGACAGAACAGACAACCGAGCATGGCTTACCACAGCCAATTGCCCTGCAATAAGGGCACCGCAATATCATAGCAGTGCCCAGGCAGACACAATGCAGCATACCGTAAGAGCTCTCTTTCAAGGATTACTACTCATTAGGAAGAAAATGCTCAGTTTTCTCTTCCAGGAACACTGCTCTTTGCCCTGTCTTAAATTAAAACATTTTTGTCACATTCTCACAACTGTCAATACACAAGAATCATATATAAACACAGAACTGTGAGTATGGCTCATTTTTTAAGCCAAACAGGAAATGACACTAAATTAAGTCATTCCAGTTTTTTGCTTAATCATTCGTGTAAGGTGTGATTTTATAAATGTATTTACGTAATATTCTAGTGGCCAAGTAACGCCCTTCAGCATCCTTAGATAAGTCACAGGAATATCAGTATTTTATCTTCATGAACTGCAAAACAGTCTGTTTGGACCTTAGGCTTCTACAATAGATCAAATAGCAGAAAAGAAGGTCCTATTCTGCAGATAGATTTTTATTATTTAATGCTATTATGAAGAGCATACTGCCTACAAGGCATGGATGGACACGAAAACCCAAACAGCTGTCTCGAATTAACCACCCCTTCCTTCCAAGGCAGGCATGAGTGGTCAAGTCACAGGGCTCTGTAGGCCACCTCACTCTAAAGGGAAGTGGAGACAACTCTAGGGACGCTCAAGAGAAGTGTCAGAGAGTGACACAGGAGAAAACTCTGGTTAAGGGGGAAATAATTGGTAAAATTGGGGGAGTTGATAAAGTCTTAAAATTATGCTCAATGGGGGGGGGGGGGGGGGGAGGGCGTGGTTATGAGGATTCCCTCCCTTCCCCTCTCCCTGCCTGCCCACTTTACCTCTCCGATGACAGAGCTACCCTGATGCGCCAAGCAACGTTCTAGTGACAGTGAGTATGCTGACTTCTTTTTCAAATACCTTTTGGACCTGGAAAAGTTCTCTAGCATGAAACACAGAAGCGTTTCCATGCTCTCAATCTGCCTAATGATATTCTGCATCTTTCTAGACCAAACTTCCACAAATCTCTCTGATCTCCAGGATAAGTACGAGCCACTAATGGTGCTCAGTCTTCTATATTATTTCATGAGTCTCACAGAGGTTTTCAAGTCTAGACACCTAATTTCATGTATGTTCACCAACAGAACTTCATATTTTCATATTGCTAAAATATTTTATATTTCTGTGGCACTTATCACCCACAATTTAGAAGACTTTACAAAAAGTCATCAACTTCCTCAAAGGAAATCAAGTATTAGTAGCATCGTTTTACAGACTGACAAACAAGTAAGAAAATTAATGTAGCAGTCTGCTGAAAAACTATGTTACAATGAAGCTTTTTTTCTTTTACCTCTCCCCTGCAAAGCAGTTGCAAATACCAAATCTGTGTAGGTAGCACTCCTCTGAAAGAATGAGACATAAGAAACACTCGCCCCTCCCTATAAATACTAGATGTGGATTTACAGCAATACCTCCTCAGAGGTTTCAGGGGCACTAAGCTCATTAGCATCCAAGTACATCTGTAAATACCAACACATTTAGGCAAAGCAAACAAAAATCTTTTAAAAAAAAAGATGACATCCTTACCTGCAATTCCTATGAAGACTGTCAAACCAAAACAAACAAAGAATACTACAAAGACCAGGACAAAATGCCGTTTGGACAGTGTATATAATCGCATTGGTGCCAGCCTACAGGAAGCAAAAGAAAGCACAGAATAAGCTGTCAGTCATATTTCTAAAAGAAGGAAAAAAAAAAAAAATCCATTCACCATTCTCTCCTCCACAAAGAAAATTGAACCAATGTCTGTGATAACGTACAGCACCAAGAAGAATCCACAATAATGCTGTTTTATAGACAGTTGTAATTTATAGACAATGCAGTAACAATTACTTAGGATAATAAGACATAGGTATGTGCACACCCATCTCCGAATGCATGAATTTTGCACATTCATTTTAGTCTAGTGTTTTCTCTTGTCCTAAGACTTGAGTGAGAGGAAACATTTCTTAACTGAGAAGAAGAAAAAAAAAAAAAGTTGTATTTGTAGTTCCTATGTGAGTAATTTAAATATCCAAGGTACCATGCCTGCTACAATGACAGCTTAACCTAAAGGGATTGACAACACTGTAATAACTCAGTTACCTGCACATGATCTTAATTAGTTTTCTGAACCCCAAAGGTAAATGTCATCCCTATAGGAACTTCGCCTACAGCAACACTCCTAAGAAGGAACAGAGCAGAACTTCGGACCAGCTAGTTGTGCAAGCTCAGGCTCTGAATTCACAGCTGAGCTCTCCCAAAGCTTGGGAAAAAGAAACTTGAACTGAAGTTTATCATTAACCACTTAAATAGGTGCAAATACCAGTCCATCTTCAGTTAACACGAGGTTAAAGACAGAATAAAGAAGAAAAGTACTGAAATAACTGACTACATTCTCTTGGAAACAGGTAACTTCCAGTTCTGTTAGCATAAGGGCAATATGACCAAATAAAAATCCTATATATCATATCCCTTCTCTACCATCATCTTTGTTAAATGAGCAGTTCAATAAAGCACACAGACAAACCCTGTGTTTCAAAACACATCTAACACTTAGTTTTGAGTTGTGTCAGAATTCAGTCACCATAAAGTTAATTTTTTACTGCTGTACCAGCAGGTATCGTTATTAGAAAGCTGCACTGTTTATACAGTAAAGCTGTAGAGTTTGGTGGTGGTGCTTTCTAATAAAATTGTAGGAGTAATATCTATCTGCACCATCATGGAAAGAAACGAAAGCTTAAGACTTTAAAACTACAGACAATCTTCCCTTCCAGCTTAGAATAGAATTTCTTTTCACCAGCTGAGAGTACTGCTCTTACTGCTCTACCACCACACTAATTAGGAAATGCAGAAAAGGTGGTGGAACCCTTTCCATGAGCCCAACCCATAGTCTGGGACCACATACCCCAGGCCTGCAAGCCTGCTAAGGAGCTCTTTTAAGTAAGGGAAATAACTCACTTTAAAAGATTAAATAATCATCTCAATTTTAAGAATCTAGATTCTTTACAGACAAAACACTACTGAAATAATGATGTTAATTCTTTACAGTAACGTTTGAAATATCCTAATCTTAATTTAACTCAGGTGGTGGGGAAGAGAGAAAAAAACACAGGAGAAAACTGCAAGTAAGTAACTGCACACGTTACAAGCTTGCGCAAACTGGCTTTACGGGACTCTTGCAATAGCACCTGCAAACACCGTTCAACTTTCCTTGCCACATGCCATTACCATGAGCCAAAAATCTGCAAAAGTCTGAGAAGTCAGAATAGCTGAATATACAGGGGAAAAAAGAAGTTATACATGAAATTATCACAGTCAAAATATGAACAGCACAGAATACACTTTTGATCTCAGCTGCATCACACAAAAGTTTCACAGACAAGTATGACTTTAAGCTGACCGTCAAGAATCCCAGATAACAGAGGCATTTCAAACCAGGATACGTCTGCACAATTTTTGCAGGGATTCAGTTACACTACATTGGTCAAACCAATATTTAACACCTCAGTCTTGATTCACTTAAGCCAGTTCAAAGCTATTCTATCTATCTGCACTAGTATTTTTAAAAGGGCGTTTTCCTCTCTCTGATGCTCCAAGGACTCCTTCAGTTCCATAAATGATCTGGTACTTCTTGTCCACTTAAGAACTCCATTCACGGGATATCATCTCAAGCTACACAGATACTAATCTTAACAGGTAAATGCTTGGCATATAAAAATGCTGACATGCCTAAATTAAATATAAGAGTTCAAGTGGATACCAACCCACGTACAGCTGATGGAAGAGCACCCACTGAAAACTACTCAGCACAAAGAAACCAGGTCTGGATTGGAAAGTCCATGAGTTGAGAACAGCTGAAAACTGGAAGAGTATCATATACATAGAGGGAAAGTATCACATATGCTTGTGTGTTCTTACAGGTTATACGAGAGCATCCACTTGGCAGTTACAAGCTCACGCAGGATATTTCTGATTTGCTATGCACATTCTTGTATTCTTTTGATAAGCTTCCTAGTCCACGTTTCTGTGAGAGATTTCAAAATGTATAATGTGAACATGAGAAGCAGCCTCACCTCCACAGTCCTTACAGAAAAGCCACTGGAGGTCGCTAAGTAACACTCACACGACTGGCTTTACAGCGATAGGCAATTATCACCTCTTAAGCCACAGCACAGACGCACTTGCAAGCTTTTGCAGAAACACAGCTCCAGACACTGGCTCCTTCTTCACTCTAAATCATCTCTGGATGGCTCAACATCTAGTAGTCAAAATGGCTTGGTACATGTTTAAATCCTGCTGCGGCAGGTAAGAACAGTCATGCTGGTAGTTTCCAAGGAGAGGAACTTGCCCAGAATAGGGACATACTGATCTTCTCCCTTCTTTCATACTGATACTCCTGAAGTCTCAGTTAAGGCACTGACTGTATGAATGTGCTATTTTACAGGTCAGTAAGGCAACAATGCTCTCTCCAGAAGAACTTAAATGACAAAAGAACGGTGAGGAGAGAACAGGTGAAATAGCACAGACTCTCTCAAGACATGTTCCGTTCCTAGTATATCTACAGGATTTACAAGACTAGATTAAGGTAAATGCTGAGAAACACACAAGGTTTGTTCAGATGGCTGAATACGGGCAACTAGAACAGCTCAGACTCGGCCCTCGTCCTTCTTAGGCTGTTTTATCAGAAGCTATCACAATTTGGTGCTCATACCTGTACTATCAGCACTCACAAATTTTATCACAAATCACAGAAGTCTAAAGTCTTGGGGTGGGGAGGGGCGTCTTTAGAGCTCTAGTCCTCGAGATCTTATAACAGAAGAATTTCAGCTCTCAAAAAGGAAAAAAATCCATTGATTTCTGGCCCTTACAGTTTGAAAACACAAACTTCTAAACATGAAACAGCTAGACACAAAATAACCGAAACACAGAAGACAAACTATTTACATTTTATTTCTTCATTTCTCACAACCGAGTGCAACGTTCAAGCGGGCGGGACACACCAAAGTACACACATCAAAATCACACACACAAAAAACCTTCTGAAAAGGTCACATCTACTAGCAAGACAGAGTTCAGAAAGAAAGGGAAGAAGGAAATGAAGTACTAGTAACTAAGATTAAGAGTTTAAGTTGAAAAACATTGATCCAAACAAAAATAGTAAGTGAAGTAAACATGGGTAACAAGTCAGATTCACAGAACATTTTAGGGGGGGGTTCAAGTAACTTAAAACTCACCGATAATTATTAACCTATGTTGGATCTGATGAAAGTCCTGCACCTCTCCATTAGATTTCTATGTGATCAGCTAGAACAACTGCAGTACCTCATTCTCCATACTGGCTTGTGAATCCACGATTATGTAACATGCAGCTGGCCAGCAGAACGATACTGCATAGTAAGTATTTGCAGATATACCAGGTTGTGTGGCCATACTGTTTAGTGGTTTCAGAAACGTTCACTGGCACTGCACCAAAGTCCAAAAAAACTAGAAATCACTAATCTAAGCAAAGAATGTTGTCAGTAATCTTTCACATTTTGGGAACAGTCAGCTCTAATTTCGTTCTTGATTTCACAATAAATTATCTTGTAAGGGTAACAGCTTATATAGCTTAGAAAAGTATTTTAAATGAAGCGCTCTCTACAAATTTCCAGTGGGGAAGGACAGCTCATCTTTGTAACCTGCTCACTTGACGGACAGGTACAAACTATACTTCCAAAGTGCTGCAAGTTATTCTCCTTTAGTTACAGAAATCTTACATCTCAATTTATCAGATTCTCTTAACTCTCTGAACTGTATTTTCATCGCTTACTAGCAAAAGCTACAACCTCTAACATTACCACAAACCTACAAAAACTTAACACAGAACCCAGACTGACAGCAACACCTAGACTGGGAACTAACACTATACCACAGAAATAGTGAATTGACAGAGAATGTAACTTCACAGGCAAGCAGTATTAAATTAAGCTGCTGTCCAAGGGACGAAAGGGTATTGGAAAAACCTGGCAAGCTACATAGCTCAGAATTACACCTGTCTGCATTGGCACAAACATAAGAGGTTGTCTACTTTGGCTGTGACACTGCTAGTGTATTTTACTGTGTGCAGGTCCTGGGAGACTTCTACACTTTGTGCACTTTCTAAACATTTATATGACCAATCAGTCCTCAATCATCTCTCAAGTCATTTGCTATGAACCTACAGACCTTAAACTAAGCGATCAAGCAGTGTTTTTACTCAATCAGTATTAAACATCAAAACTTTTATTCACGAAAAGGTGATACTGATAACCCAGAAGTTTATACCACAACATTTACATCAACATCGAAGTGATATTTTAGTGCTGTGATAACTTTCAGAGATACTGTGTAGAAACACCACCCTGTTTTCAAGTCATGACAATCACATAACACTTTTGGTAAGATCAAATGTAAGAATGCAACCAAATCTTAACTATGGTTACAAGAGCAAGCAATAATTTATAGAATTCCTATTGGGTGCTATATTTTTTACTGCCTTTCCCCGCAGTAAAGAATTTCCTTGGGTTGTTAGTGTCTTATTTCAACCTATCACCGGCAGATAAAATGATCCTCTATATGTTCATTGTTTAGCATATGTCTTTCGGAAATAAATTACTTAATTTATGAACATCTATAGGTGTAAGAGGATGATCTCCCACTAACAGCTTCTTTTTTACATCCGAAAGGCCATATAAAGACTGAAATGTGTCAAAGACGTATATGGGAAAGGCAAAGAAGGACCCTATGTCTGGAAGCACTTGTTCACACAGGGAAGGAATATATTGCGCTTTGTTTTCTCCATAGACTTTAGTCAGCCTAGCCAAGGCTGCCTGAAGCTCAAGGTTAGCCATCCAAGTGTTAGCAGATTTCTCAGGCAGGTTTAGCAATCCGTACTGAATTTTATCCTGATTCAGGCAGAACCTAATTATTTTGTAACTAAATTGGCTTTTTAAAAAACACTGCAAAGGAGCAGAAAGCACAGAGATACAAACAGAGAAATATCAGACATCTCACATAGCAGTCAGGATTTTTAAAAAATAAACTGTGCACTAATACCATCTACGTTAGCATGAACTATGGAAGCGTGCACTCCCAGACGCTTGAAAATTTACATAACAACTGCAGTCTTGCGGTAGCTATTCATACGTGAGATTTAAAAGCGCGTTAAATTTTGTTCCTTGAGTGAAGTCTTGGCTCAAACTGTTAAGTAAAACGTTTGTCTCAGGCTATTCCTCATCTTCAAGTCACTTCTCTCATCTGCACAACAGCCCATAGCATTACACCCTCAAGAAACACAAATGCTTTTATATAACACTTTTCACTCAAGAATCTCACTTTACAGATGGGGAGTCTGTGACGCAAGTGCGATTAAGCAGAAGGTAGCCAAGGGCTGGTATCAAAACCAGAAATAGCTCACCCACTTTTACGCTCAATAGCTTTTTCTCTACATACTAGCCTATGCACATCTCCCTCCAACTGTTCTTTTTGACTTCAGGATCATTCCCAAGATAAAACCATTAAAACCACTTTGATTTAAACTTTTACCTATGCTACCCACATTTATAGTACTCAGTCTACCTGCACGTATCGCATGTTCTCACTGCTTAAAGACATTGCTTTGGTGACCCTCAGAAGACCTCGAATTCCTTCTTGCAGATGTATTTCACTGTGGTTAACAACTAATGAAGCATGTGATTACATAAAAAAGATGTATACAGTTGATATTAAAATGCCGTGTAGTACTGTTATATGACAACTGCAAGCTAACTGACTATACTAAACAGCTCAAATGGCCTCTTTTGTTCTTTTTACAGTCTTATTTATTTCACTCATTGGTGTTTAAAGAATTAGTCATGATAACTGCTCTATCCATGCAGACAAGCGTCTGGAAAAACAACATTTTTTTTCTCCTTACAGTCGCAGTCTGTGAGTAGAAATACAGGGTTTTTTAAATTCACTAAATAAGAGGGACAAAAACTCAGCACTCTTCTAAGAGGCGGGTGATTACTCCCGGTTTGCTAACTTGCAAAACTCGGTCTCGGGAGAACTTAACCCTCAGCGATCTCCTTTCCTAAACCGAATTACAAACTCCAAGTCGTGAGGCCAACCGTGCAGGCGAAGACTTCTCCCTCCCCCTCTCCCCGAGGGCAGACAGCTCCTGGCCGCTTTGCAGCTGCTGGTGCCCGCCCAGTCCCGGGGGAGGTGGGGGGCGGCGGCGGAGCGG